CTATAGCTACCCTGGGTCTCTATACCTGGCAAGGTGCCAACTACACCTTTCCATTCAGATGATGCAAATGATGCATTTGGCATTTCTTGCATCACCACCCCTCAAAAATCACCTCCAACACAACCTCGAAAAACCTTCCCTCGAAGCACCCTCCTCCCCCAGCATGTGCCGAGTTTACGTGTACCTTTCCCGGGCCACCCCCCCAGACCCCCTAACTACTCACTTCGTTCGCCGGACACAACTCCGCTAGCGCCTTCTACGAAGGCTGGCTTTCGTAATATGTCATGTAGGATAGTCGTAGTATATCCATACGATCCATACATACATGTATGACTTCATTGGTATGAAATATATGCCTACATATGCCGCCCCATTGACCCTCCTGGCACCACCCCAAACTGATTGGCATATATGGCATACATGGAGCGTCTGGGAATTTAATCCAATTATTGTCTAAAATGATCCAAAGTCAGTGACGGGTGGATCGAAGATCAAGCTAAAACTATGCTAATGCTAAGCCATTGGTCCAATTTGGTTCCATACTTCCTCAACAAAACTGCACAAAGTGTCCGTTCGACTCCAACAAAACCTTTCGAAATCTATCTGAAAATCCTTGAGAAGACACTGAAGTCGCGACTCCGTCCGGAGATCCACGCGACTCCGTCCGGTGTTCGGAGCGGAATGCACCGCTCCGGCCTGAGACACTGCGTCTGGACAAAGAGCTTCGCCAACTTCATGGCATCCCGTTGCCCCAGTTGCCTCACCATCTGTGGCGTTTCTTTTCCCGCAAGAAAAAGAGGTGCTTCGGGCATGAATGCGGCATGGGGGACTGCTTCCCAGGTTCACCACGATTCGCTGGGCACCCTAGTTCACCGAGCCAAAGAAAGCTTGGCGGTTTCAGCTCACTTGAACAATTCTGGAAAACTATATACTAGTCAGTGGGATCAATCATGCGCCCAAGTAAAGGTTGAATATGAACATATCTGAAAAAACCGCTCAGAAAGCATGAAGCTAAGCCCCACAATGCTGGCCACGGCACCCGAGCTTTGAGAGGGAGCCAGTACCTTTCAACTGCGGCCTCGGCGCTGGTCAAAGGTCTAAGGTTCCAAAGGCCTCAGACCGAACATAGGACTGGAGGAGTTGCTTACATTGACCCCATGAACATAACCCCTATGTAAGTAACATCAAGTAACTATTGCATAGATGGATGGTTGGGCAAGGGGTGTTTTGAGATGTTTTCACCCTAGAGGTCGCTTCCAAAAGACGCGTGTGGTTGGGCATGAAGTCGGCACCACGTGTGAAGTGTGGAGAAGGATGGGGCCATGTTTGACTACTGAAACAGTGTACATGTACATGTGTCGGTCGAACCAAATAACATCTATCATCTATCAGTCTATGAAATCCTGCATGTAATGACATTGCACATTGACAAGTTCTTTGACTGGATGTGTTGGCAAGAGAAGCACATGTCCTAAAGAAACAGCGCACCTCCGGTCAGCCGCAGAGTCCGTCTGCATGACCTTTTCCTTTTGGGCGCTCAGCTTAGCAGGTAGGCCATGCTTGGACAGCACAACTGAAATTGGTAAACTGCTTCTACTACACCGGGGTGAAAGTTGTTGGCGCAACTCAGGGGGTAGCCACCATAGCCATAGATGGCTCAACACCACATGTCAATTGAACCATCTTTGAGCTAGGAAGCACAAAAAACTGTCGCAAAAAAAATCATTAAACATCACGAAAACTAGGGCTGTAAAATCTATAGATGGCGCATCCCAAAGCTCCTTTCCCTTTCCGTTCCTTGTCCTTTCCCTTTCCTTTTTCTTTCCTGGATTTGTCCCTTCCCTCTCCTCCTTCCCTTTTCCTTTCCTGCGCTTTCTGCTTCATGCAGTATAGCATTTCCTGCGCTTTCCTTTCCAACTTCATGCAGTACAGCATCAGTGGTGAGATTTGCAGAGTTGAAGCCTACTGTATGCATTGATTGGCATTGCGCCACCTGTGGTTCTGACATAAAGCCTCCACACACAAATAAAAGATGACAAAATGGCGAGATCTTGGACCACAAATGCGGTAGTTTTCCAGGGTTTTTGGACTTGCAGATGGCGCAACAGTGTGTTGCCCCCCTTGGAGTTCGATGATGAAGCAACAAAAAAAGACAAGCCATCAATTCTCACCCCGGAGTACCCCCTCAGAACCTTCTCAAAGCTCCTTCCTCGGGAATCGATCAGGATCATCCTGGGCAATCCGAGAGGGTCTGGACAACCCTCCACCGGGCAACTCCTGACACGGCTTTATCGACGATTGTACAGTAAGACTCCATGGCCAAAATGGAGCGCCGAAACCACTCAGCTGTTTGCGCTGTTTTGTGCTACGGAAATTCAGACTTATATATCAATCCATCAGTCCATTGCAGGTTCTTGTCGTTCTTGTTGTCTGTTTGTTGGCACGAGGACAAGCCTGGCATATACCTGCAGCACATTGTTGGACTAGCTTAGGCTGCTAACTAGTGCCTGGGTCAGCCATGGACCCTGTTTGATGAGACCCAACAAGGCTCAACAAGGGCACTTTGAAGACCAACATCTAACCAAACATGCCTCATGCATGATTAGAGTTAGTTGTGTATAGCACCATTGCGTATTGTTCATCGCCTCCTCGTAGCGGGGACGGGAAGTGCACCAGGACCCAAACTGTTCAGGACATCATGCTCGAGCTCTTGCTGGTCACTGGGGTTGTGGGTTGCTATTGGTTGCTATGCTGTAGATACAAACGTCGGCACCCTGCATTCAGCGATCTCAATCGAGTCTGCGCAGCTCAACCACCTGAATGCAACACATGCAACGACTTCGGCCGTACGGCCGTATGTCAATGTCACATCTCCTTCATGTAGGTGGCAGCCTCTTCCTTCATCCAATCCTGGTAGAAAAGTCACAGCCGAGGAACAGCTACGCCACATACCCCCTTTGCTTTCGTTTGTTCAAATCTCACCCATTGCGTTCGATTGAATTTCAGCTTCAAGCAACTCAGGCCGTGGAAATCCTGAAAATTACTTGCAAATGACCCCAGCAACAAAAACACTGCACACAAAGTGTCACCCAAATACATCTACTGCAATTTGCGCCCAAGATTCGACTAAATCTTCTGGTCCATCCTTGGTTGACGGGAACAATTGCCTTTGTCCGTCGGACGAATGCATCTTGCGATCCAAGTCGCAAGTTGCCCGTCGTACTTCTTTGGGTTCTTGTAGCCTTTCCTGAGCACCATCAGCAGGCTTGTCATCATGCTTGGTCATCGCCCTAATTGGAGATGATTTTACCTCATATCTAAGGAGTGTTTGGGCACATATAGTGCTGAAACCTGTTCAAAGCAGCTGGCTCTGGAGCCCCGAAAGATCCCAAAAGGTAAAGGACATAAAGTTCAAAAATTCAAAAGACAGTAAAAAACAAGGGGAATGGCAGGCGCAACATGTATCGCAAATAGTCTCGACTCGGCAAACTACCGACCCGTGATGTGAAAAACAAAGCTGGTCACAACACACCGCTGACATCTTTTTGAGAAAGAGGCCGCGGCCACTCCGCAGAAAAACCCAAGGCTCCTGTACAAAAGGGCTTTGGGCAAAGGCCCCTGGAAATTGTAGCCCCAGGTGTCTCCTTAGCGCCAGAAAGCAAAGCACCACCTGAAGCTCAAAAGCACTTGCCATAGAACAATGTATGGTAGTCCTTCTGTCCTAGCGCTGTCACTCTTGTAACGGCTACGTAACGGTAGGATGCCCGATCAAGTGTTGGTCCTGATTGCTAGCAAAATTCCGCCGGATGAGTTGTACCTTGCCAGCACTGTCCTTCGTAGATCCTGCCAGCTCAACTGCAAAGTTTGTGAATGTTGGTGCTAATGGACATTCCAACCTCCCACAGAACCTTCACACCTTAGGCTCTGGGGGCACTACATCCACTGCAAATGTGGAAGGCCGCATTCTTTCCACTGATCTTAGGTTCGTTGGCAATCTCTCAAATCCCGACATTGTCCTGGAGCTTCTCTTTCCTCAGTTGGCTCAGCTGCCAGAATAATCAACTGCCGATGAATGTTCAACATGAAAGTGCGGAACCTCCCGGCGGAATGAGGAACGCCGTTGTGATTGCATATCCAACGTCCGGAACGTCTATGTGGGTCAACTGTTTCACCCCGTTTTCCATTAACAGTTGTTTGTTCTTCGCCACCGGGTCCATCAAACATCTTAGCCAATTTCAAATTAAAAACATGGTGTCCGCGCCAAAAAAAACACGTAGGACCTCTATACCATCTACAATACACAACTTCCGTGGAATCCTCGCATCAAGCCACCTGACATTCGTCATGGCCTGACTGAGTGACCGGTCCCAAGCCCCCACCTGGAACCAGCATGGGCTGAGCCAAGCCACTTCAACAATCCTCGGCTCATGTATGAAAACTGGCCACGCATCAATGTGCAGGAAAAATTGTGCATGGATCCATGAAAAAGATCCAACCGGTATCTATCACCCTTTAGGAATGGAACTGATATGCATGCTTGATAAACCTGCCGTGGCTGGCGAAATGTGCGCGGACAACAACTTCCAGAAAGGACGTGTCATGCAAGGCCTTTTGTGCGTTGCCTCTGCACAATGTCCCGTTCATTGTGACTATTAGTTTCTTTTGACCACATATGCTGGCTCTGCTAACCTTCAATCATGGAAAGGCTAATTTGAGCACGGCCTGAGTGACAATATCTTATGCACGTCTCTCTCTCTCTCTCTCTCTTTCTCTCTCTCTATATGCATTATGGTATGCATATGTATATATATACCCTCCAAGTCAATGACCTCATTAAACTTGTCCATCTCAAAAATGAAGACATTGAACACTATTTACTTATCTTAAAGACTTCAACGGCCCCCCTGAGACCTGAAGGGCCATTTGAGACCTCAAGGGCCCTTCACCATTGTTGAGTGAGTTGTCAGGATGGGGCTACAGCACTGGTTCTTGGCTCGCGCCAAGAGAGAGCGATTCTTGGCTAAGTGTGTCTTTGGATGACATTGACTGGTCTTTCCTCTAGAGGAGAACTTGGCTTGAGTGGCTTGAGCTTCTAATTCCAGGTTCATGCACAAAGGTGCCCATTCGAAGAGGCTTCACTGGTCTTTTGGAAGAGGTTTCAGTGGTCAATTAGACTGTTCTTTGCTCACTGGATTTGAGCATCTCAGGACTGAACTTGAGGTTCTCGCATTGCTTCTCACAGGAAGACACCATCGGGATGATCAAGAAGCTGTCAACTGTCAAGTGCCAATCTCTGGCAGACACATGGAAAAGTTCCTGGCCAAGAGTGCGAGGCTCTGCTTGAAGCGTGCAAAGGCACGCATGCGCAGGACAGTTCAGCTTTCTGATTGCGCAGTACCATTCAGGTTGGTTACTCATTCTGCAGCATCTTCTTGTTCTGAATTTGGATGGCAAGCGGCCAAGCCAAGAGCCGCAGCTAGGAACCAAGAATTTGCAGTTGGATGGCAAGCGGCTAAGCCAAGAACCACGCAGCATCACTAGCATGAATGGAGTTAGACTTGCTCTAAAATCGTTTTGTCCTTGGCATTTCCCTTGTGGCAGGATCGGTATGGATGTGCAGTGGCGACGATGACATGGCAAGGACTGGCAGTTTTGACATTTTTTTGATGGCAAGCGGCTAAGCCAAGAGCCGCAGCTAGGAACCTAGAATATGCGGTGAACATGTGAAGGTTCCCATACAACATCACCCCAGGAGGTAACGTACCGTGATTTACTGAGTTTGGCAACTGTTTTGAGTGGTTTTTCATCGATTCTGGCAGGATCTATGTGGGCTCCTGTGGCGACGCTGGTGTGGATGAGACAAAAGGGCGCTTCTTCCGACAAACGCGATGTTCAAGTAAAACTTGTTCCTTTTCAATTGACCTCGTTAAACCAGGACTTCGGACTTGCAGGGTATATATAAATATAGATATATCCTAAATATATAGACTGTATATATATGATCATGTATATTGTTATACGTCAACATCATGGTTTTGGCATGTGTTGGCTTTCATGCCACAAGGAACGTTCTCTTTTTCCTCCGCCGAACTGATCTTCGGTTTCGCGTTCTTCGCTAGATCACCTTCAAGGTTCGTAGGCCTTCGGTGTGTTTGGGGCAGGGGTCCGGGCGTCCGGCGGCCTCCGCCGCCTTGGACATCTCGTAGAAGGCGCCGTTGCGCCATTCAAACTCCTTCACCGCGGTGGGGAAGTGCGCCACGCTCCGTGCGTAGGCGGCCAGGCGGTCACATAACAAGAGCCGCTCCCAAGTGACATCAGCCTGGGAGGCGGACACGGCCACAGCCAACTGCCCAATCAACTCATCCACCTCAGGGGATGGGACAGCTCACAGCTGAAAACAAATGCCTTGCTGTACCTGATATCATTTGGTCTTGAGAGAATCTCAATGAATCTCAATTTCTTCAGCGGTAAGCTCATGTTAAATCATCTGTTATTGGTCCGCTGACCCTGTGCAGAACATCTCCCACATGTTCTGCCATCGGGCCAGGGGTCAAAAGCAACGACCCCAGTTTCCAACCGCAAGAGTGACTAGCCCCCGAAGCTCCGGTAAAGGACAGCATGATGACATATGATGACCAACACAACACCCGCAATGCCCTGGCAGTTTGGGGTTGCGTGCCACGGCTCGTTAGCAAAAGAGTCCTTGATTTACGCCACATGTCGCCGAGTCGTTGGTTCTGGTTTTGGGCACCTCCTTGCGATGAGTGGATTCCACCTCGCCCACGGTACAGCCGTGAAGGGCCCCGACCATCATGTAGGCTGAGATCCAAAGATTCTTTTCCCAATAGGCCTGACGCATGGCGACGCATGGCGACGCACGGTACCTATGCTGAACATCTCCTTTCAAAGCAATGCATGGTGCGTGGACTTGACTTGGGGTCCTCCACGCGTCTGGACACGCTCTCGGTCTTCGATGTCTAGGCCTGCTTGAACTCCATGTCCCGCAGAATGCGGCAAGCCAAATCACTGGAGGTGAGCCTCCAATGAACCTGACCAAAGCGACGTGCGCCCGTAGAACGCCCAGCTGAGCCCAGTGGACTGGTGAACAAGTTGAAGGCTTGGCGAATTGTCCTTCCTAAAGTGGATGGTCTTCGAAAAAGTGGTTCGAACAAATCATGTCATGGGTGCGGAGTGTGCAATCTTCTCATTATAATTGGAGCCCTTGTGAGAAATAGCTAGGGTAACTAGTGACTGACTGAGTAATGGTAATGACCCCTTTTTACCTCCTAGTGTGCTAATGTCTTCATGTTTTTTCTGGTTGTCATTTGACAGATCTTTATATATATACTTAATAATGCTATGTTATAAACTGTGTATATATATATATTTCTTTGGTGGAAGTTCCGGCTGCAACTGGGTCTCGGAAAACATGTGCTGGTCTTACTGCTGGCCTTGTTAACAAGTGTTTGGTTGGGCACATGCTGGGATGCCTAAGCCTTGTCCCCAAGCGAGTACTTGGCTTGGGAGCTCTGAACAGCTGCAAGCTCCAGTCCAAACAGAATCCACACACGGCATACCACGGACCAAACACAAATACAAACTCTTGTAGATGCATACGATAAAGCGCCAACCATGCATATTCCTGCACCATCCAAGGGGTGTCCAATATGGACTATCTCAAACTACAACGTATCTTTAAGGGCCAACAATTATAAACAAAATACATGCACAGTCTTGGATGGTCCTCCTAATCCTAGAAGCTGCCCACGTCCACAACCCAACGCCTGGAAAACGACCGTCGGCACGTCGTGTCACAATCCTCGCACGTCGTCCACCGAGGAACTTCCCTGGCCCACTTCCCGCCGGCATTCACTGCACTTAACCCCTCAGGGTCCGTGTCTGTCTTCCCGTCCAAGGGCGGCTCGCCCTTCTTGGCCACCGCGAAATAGACCAACAAGATCGTCACCGGCAAGCCAGGCCTCTATGATTATAGCTTGACACTAGAACAATCCAAGGAGTTGTTAAGTTGCTTGGGGACCGTCGTTCGTTGTTTCGGGGGAATTTGCGCAGAAGAAGTGTTTTTGACCCTTGCACCTCTGAAGAATTGGTTGTTCAGAACTAAGAGAGGGTATAAAACACGTCTTGTTTTTTTGCGCTGTTAGTGGCAACATACGAGACCCAAAGGACTATTTCATAGGTTTGTTTGTCTCGTGAGTGGTGAGTGAACGGCCATGGTAAAAGCTTTGTAGACGTTGTAAACCTTTGTAAATTTGCTTGTAATTCAACAACTCTGTCAACTCTTTGCGAAAGTTGCAAACTTTGTACAAATTCTTAAGACTTTGTGAAAGTTTTGTAAACGTTGTATAACTTTGTAAAAATATAAAACTTTGTAAACGTTCTAAAAACTGTGTAAAACGTTGCTCTAACTTTGAAGAATAATTTGAAGAAGGAGTTCGTAAAAGGTTGGTAAACCTTTTTACAAAGTTTGCGAATTTTACAACGTCTTTTAATAAAGTTTGACCAAGTTCTTACAAAGTTTTGCAAGTTTAAAGGTTGACAAAGCTTACAAAGTTTGACAAAGTTTAAAAATGTTTCACAAAGTCTACAAAGTGTTGACAAAGTTTACCAAGTTTATACCAAGTTCACTACGTTCTTACAAAGCTTTCAAAGTTGGTACAAAGTTTACAAAGTTTTACACAGATTTTATGAAGTTTGCAAAGTTTTACAACCGCTTACCAAGTTTACAAAGTTTTACAAAGTTTACAATTTTTTAACACAGTTTAAAAAGTTTTGAACAATTTCCAATTTTTACCAAGTTTACAAAGGTTTTACCATTTAAAAATCAATTAAAGACGTATTGAAAGTTTTACAATGTTGCTGCAATGTTGACAAAGTTTTTACAAAGTTTACACAGTTTTGCAAAGTATTGAAAGTTTACAAAGCTTGTACAAAGTTTATTAAACAATTACAAAGATTGCACATTTTACAATTTTTACATGGCGTTTTTACAAAGTGTACAAACATTTGCAAACTTTACGCAGTATTTACATAGTTTACAAAGCTTTCACAAAATTTGCAATTTGTTCAGTTTACACAGTTTTGGCAGAGTATTGAAAGTTTACAACGATTTTACAAAGCTTTGGAATTTGACAAAGTTCTTGCAAAGTTCGGAATTTACACAGTTTTTCAATTTTTACAGAGCCTACAAAGTCTTACAAAGTTTTTACAACGTTTTCAAAGCTTTTACAAAGTTTACAAAGTTGTACAACGTTTTTACAAAGTTTACAACAGCTTTTTCAAGTTTACAAAGTTTTTACAAAGTTTTTACAAAGTTTACAAAGCTTTTACAAAGTTTACAAAGTTTTTACGAAGTTTACACAAGTTTTTCAAGTTTACAAAGTTTTTACACAGTTTACAAGGTTTTTACAAAGTTTTTACAAAGTTTACAAAGTTTTTACAAAGTTTACAAATGGCTGGTAAAAAACACTTGTGTTTACAACAAATGACATGAAAAACACTTCTTTTTAAGCAAAAAATCGTGCAAAAACACTTCTTTCACAGAACTTTACAAAGTTTTACAAAGTTTTTACAAAGTTTACATAGTTTACACAGTTTTTACAAAGTTTACAAAGTTTTTACAAAGTTTACAACGTTCTGACAAAGTTTGCGACATTTGCCTTTTGTTACACAAATTTACAAAGTTTTTACAAAGTTTACAAAGTTTTGAAGATTTTGGAAAGTTTACAAAGATTTTGCCAAGTTTACGAAGTCTTGCAAAGTTTACAGAATTTCGACAAAGTTTACAAAGTTTTGACAACGATTACAAAGTTTTGCTAGTTTATTTATTTGCAAAGTTTACAAAGTTTCTTTCTACATTTTACCAAGTTTTTACAAAGTTTGTACAGTTTCACAATTTGTACAAAGTTTTAGGAAATTTACAAAGTGTTCAAAGTTTACAAAGTTTTCACAACGTTCACAAGGTCTTTCAACATGTTTACAATGTTTTGACAAAGTTTACGAAGTTTAAAAACGTTTTACAAAGTTTGCAATTTGTTACGAAGTCTATAACGTCTTTTTTAAATAGAGTTTACGAAGGCCTACAACATCTAAAAGTTGTTTACAAAGTTTACAAAATGTTAGTACAAAGTGTACAAAGTTTGCAATGTTTACAAACTTTTTGACAAAGTTCACAAAGTGTTGACAAAGTTTACAAGTGTTTACAAAGTTTTGACAAAGTTTTCGCATTTTACAATTTTTTACACAAAGTTTTCGCAGTTTTTACACAGTTTTACAAAGTGTACAAAGTTTTTACAAAGGTTTACGAAGTTTAAAGTGTTTCAGTGTTTAAAAAGTTTACAATTTTAACAACAGTTTACGAAGTTTTGACAAAGTTTGCAAAGTTTTTTCAATCTTTACACAGTTGCAGAGTTTTGAAAGTTTACAAAGTTTTAGAATTTCACCAAAGTTTCTACAAAGCTTACACAGCTTTTACAAATTTACAAAGTATTTACAAAGTTTACAAAGTTTTGACACAGATTGAAAAAAAATCCGAAACTTTGTAGAAAGTTTGTAAGCATCAAAAACTTTTGTAAAGGCTTTGTAAAAACGTTCAAACTCAATAACTTGGTAACAACTTTGTAAAATTCCAAAACCTTTTCAAAGCTTGATAAATGTCCAAAGCTTTGTTCAGATATCTAAAGGTTCAATACTTTTTAAAAACTTCGTAGAATTTAATGTACTGTAAGTTTCCAAAGCTTTGTGAACTTTGTTATTTCTATTTTTAAACTTTGTAGACTTTGTTAAAACTTTGTAATGCAAAAACTCGGTAAAAAATTGCAATTCCAAAACTTTGTCAATTTTTTGTAAAGAGCCAAAAATTTGTAAACACTTTGTAGGAAGTTTGTTTGAAGACCTGCGAAAGCTGTTCAAGAAGAGCTGATCTTTGGATCAGTGAGACTGCTTGCATTTTTTTGTTAAAAGAAAAACGGCATTTGGTGCTTGCGCTTTGGGAATTTGTGACTGGTGGCTGTAGTGTTTCAGGGTATTGAGGGTGAGAAGAAGGGTCGAATGGTTATTGGTTGTGGAAGTGTTTTAAGACTTGGCCACGGAAACACCAAAACACTTCTTTCATTTTTTCCAAACAACATTGGTGCAAAACACTTCTTGCGAGCAAAAACACTAAACTCAAGCAACTTAACACAAGGAGTCCAGCAAAGACTTGGGGAGTTAGGAACCGATTGCTACTGTGAAGCGACTATCCCACAATCTGATTGGCAACACTCTTCCAGGCAACCAAATTCTTATCAACTGCAACTGCTGCAAGCAGAATCATGCTGATCGCACCGCGCTGTTCGTCGCTCAGTCCGGTGAGGTTGCAAGTCAAGGAGAGACTGAATTCGGATGTGTTCCCTTGAGGAAGGGCATCCGGTCCAAACTTAGACGTTGCCACTGACGTTGCCGGCTGTAGTTCTACAGCTGCAAACGAGTGGCATTCGAGTCATTCAACGGTGGAGGAGGCATCTTGACTTGCACATTCTGTGCGTCGATGCTGGCCTCGATGTTGGCCAAGGAGCTGTACAACGATTCGAAGGACTTCCGCTGCTCCCGGTTCATCAGGTGAGTAGTGAACATCACCTCACGGTCCAATCCACATGCGGATCCGCTTGCAGTGTACTAGTGACAAGGAGGAGCTGCCACTATATCCCATGACCCTCGGAGTCCTACACCAGGGGGGCTGGTTTGAAGACCCTATCTAAGAACACTCTGACAAACACATCACATGGAAGTGGATGACGTTAAACCCCCCTGCGCCCTGACTCCTTTCCTTTACAAACACGTGATGTTCATGATTTTCCACATCCCATGTGATGTGTTCGGTCTCTTGGGGTAAGTGGATGATGGGTACCCCAGGACTCCATCGATGGGCAAAGTAGTGCAGTGAGTGGGAGGCGTGTGGGACGCGGTCGGTGCGTCCACCGAGTCACGGTCTGCAAGTCGATACTGGTGGCCGCACCCTTCATTCGCACACAGGCGTTCGCAAAGGTGGTGGCATCGATCGTAGTCTCCCCTTGCAACTCCACGAGCATCCGGAAGAAGGTCTCGGCGTTCTTGATGTCAATACCCCTTGATTGAAGGTATGACCTGAATCAGGCTGGCTATGGCTGGCTTCTGTCCATGCGAAACGAAACAGTGGTATCTATGGGCCATTGGGCTGAGTAAACCCCTAAAGCTCCCAAACAGGGAAGAAAAAACGAGTTCCCCATATCCAAACATCCAAACTTCTTCTAGAGACCAAGCAGTTCAAGCTTCAAATGCATCCTAACTGTCATAGTAGTTGTCATAGTTCAGAACCAGCCAGTCGGATTGATTTATTGGGTTGCACGGTTGCCTCCTTGCTTTAGAATAATTACCCAACATTTTCTCTGAACAAATCCAGCACCCACAAGAATTCCCTTCCTCACCCTGGACAAATTCATGCCCTGGACAAGTATACGTTTCATCCCTAAGTACTGTAATCTGAAAACCCAGTCTCCCCAGTCTCTTCCGGTCCGTCGAACCCCCCTTCCACTCCAGACCTGAATTCATAGGTCTCCACGAGCTTGCGGAACTCCTCCAAGCCCAAGCGTTGCTCAATGCCATCGGAGCTTTTGGACTTGCTCTTGAAGAGCTTCGTCAACATTTTGTGATCCTGGGCATCTTGAAGCTGATGCTCCACCTGAGACGGGCAATTTTCATAAAGAGAAATGACCGGATCTGGCGCCATATGGCATGGCCATGGCCCGTAGACCGGATCGAGCGAAGCTAGACCGTAGCCTCAAACAGGTGCACGTCTGGGTCCGGCGGTTTTGTGCGCATGGTTGCACATGACGAGAGGTATGTCTGTATGTCATCCAAGAAATGGATACCATCTAGTTTGGTGCCATTCCAGGTGTCCGTTCTTGCCCAATGCTTGATATGTTTATTTCTCACTCAGGTGTGTCACCTTGTGACCGCGGCATGGTAACCCCTGGCACTGCCTAGAGGTCCTACGACGACCTCGCCCGTTCCTCCGAGTGACAATGACCATGTCAGCATCCGGCATGGCTAACTTCAGGGCTTTCTCCACGAAAATGCTGGTGACGATGTTCCAAACCTGAGTGGTTTCGAGCGTTCTTATTGGGAATTCATGATCAGTGAAACGTGAGAGTGACCTGCCATCGTGACTGTCTCGAGTGATGCTCACTTGCGTAGTGTTGTTGTGCGCGTGTTTTCCAGCACCCCCCTCACCCAAACTGAGGAAGAATAACATAGACATAAACTGGCAAGGGAACGCATTGGCGCACATCCCTCGCATTCCAGCCAACGATGGTTGGAGATTTCAAAGTTTCTGGGAACCTTTGCTATACTTGTCAATCAAAGGGCTGGGTTAGCGGTTAGCGCTTGCAAATGGAAGTAGTAAATGTGGACATATGTGGAAATAATAGCTAGGGATGCCATCTATACACGTCTTGTGTGGGCGCTCCAAGGCAATGTCTAGCTCTCTGCTCATGAGCTGATTAAATTGCTATGGAGCACGTGAAGCAGAATTGGACAACTATGTTATGATATGCTTGATACATTTACTGTACTTGCACCATTTGCACATGCTGGTTTACTCAAGGCGAAAAAACACATGACTGGATCATGCCCAAAGGCCGAGATGAAGACAAAGGCCACATAGCCCAAGAAGGCCATGGGCATCACCATGCCTGAGCTGAGTGGATGGAGAAACAACCTGTGTTGAAAGAGTTCCATCAAAAAGAGCAAACTGGAGGGCAACGATAGAATAGGTTCGCAAGGACAACAAGGCGGCAGGCGACTCTACTATAGCTGTCAACCCACAATTCGTGGGCATTTGTAGGTCAATTGCTTCTTTGCTCTCATCATCCAGCTGTTGGCACACATGTGAATGATTGTGAATGTGCTGTATGTCATGTGCGCCGAAATCGGCCACCCGGGTTCAGTCCACCCGTCCTCAGGACCAAGCGACCTGTCTTTCTCAATGCTTGGTAGGGCTCATTCCAGTCCACTCCACTCGTGGACGCTTGGAAGAGCGTCACCACCGTCGAGCCCACCGAGCCGAAGTAGGTCGTCAACTGCTCGACGTCCGTACCATCCTGCGATCGACTGATGTGCACTGAGCAGGTCACACGACTGAGGGAAGCAACATGAAGCAACCACTGACAAACTGAAGGAGGGGCCATGCTTCATGACGATGCCATGCTTTTTTTTCGATGAAACTACTAAACTACTGGTGAACTGGGTCCTTGAACTTCACACCGCTAGCTGCATGAGTTGCCTGACCCTACCCTGTATGACTGACTACTTACTTGCCTTGCCCTGAAACAGATCCACGTTCCTATTGCCCACCATCCACCTGCACCACAACGCAAACAACACGGCTCCTGTCTGGCGTGGACCAGGGTGAGGTGCTCGACAATGCCCTGCTGCAGCAGGAGCGCGAAGACGTACATCACGAAGACCAGCATGATGACACACCACATGACGTTCATCAAGGATCCAAGAACCTGAAGCAACCACGGAGTGCGGTGTTTTGTCCAGTGTGTTTGTCCCCCAAGTGACACCAAACCAAACCGGAGATGTTGTAAAGCCATCTACGCCTGAGGCCTATTTTCCCCCAAGTGAGATTTGTTTGTTCTCTTCAAACCTTGCAACTCACAGATTTGAAGCACACCCGATCGGAGGCCATTCAACTCCAACACTCCATGGACAACATGGTCTGACGAAAAGGTGCCACTTCTCTGCATGCTTCGCACTTTCAAGACTTGATGAGTCCATCATCACCCTCTCCCCTTCTCTCTGGTCTTTCTCTACGCCACGACCGCCCCGAAGCCCGGACCCAGGACCCAGGGACGCAATCCAGCATCAAGCGCAGCTCGCTGAAGAACTTCAAGGTGCGGAAGACCCGCAAGATCTTCACCTTGAGCCAAGGTTCTGTTCCGCGTTCGGTTTCAATGAGCGCAGGAACCAGTGATGTGTTTGGAAGTGGAAAGCGATGCTTTCAACAATCGAGTAGATCAACGATATCGAGTATAGCCTAGCTCTTGGGAGTGGAACAACCACATAAAAGCATGGCAATATTCAATAATTGGAACAAGTGAGAGAGATCATCTGAGATCGGAAGCAAAAGACGAGACTCTGCAGTGATCTCCAGTGAGAGTCAGAGTTGGTTACCCAATTGAAGCAGCAAAAGTCCGTTGCATTCATCCATTGAACTGAGTGACTTAAAAGTCTAAAAGCGGAGAACCAAGATCAACTATATATTATATATAACTATATATATATTGTCAATCGAATACAGGGCTACATTCCACAAACAAAATGGGCAGTGTGCGTCCAAAAAGCCTTGAACACGAACACCCCACGCATATGCCGGAAATCTGGCTGTCCTGGGATTGTCTGCGGGTTGCAGTTTCACGGCCGCTCCCCGTGCAAGCGAGTCACGATGCGGCACAGCCGCACCAAGCGCAGGAAGGCCAAGTTCACCCCGCTCCCCGTGCTTTCTTCCGCAACATCGCCAGTATTGAAGGCTAAGAAGGTGAAAAGGTTCTCAAAGATGGAGAAGACTACTAACCTCCAAAGGCAAACATCTGTCCCTACAGCTGAACAGCAAGTTCAGTTCTGATTGCTTTCCCTCCGTCTATGCCTATGCCTCTCTGGAAAAAATGCTCTTCGTTCACCAAAGACAAAATGCTTGACATCCAGCATTCATCTATACATCTGATGTCACACACTCCGTGAAAGCACCAGTACCTGACCGACCTCCATCAATACCATTGACGGAAGCAAATCCTTTTGTGCCATGATCTCGACAAATCCTTTAATGTGAACGGTTGATGAATAGAATTTATATGAATTTTATGAAACACACTATATGATTAAATAGAGATGATGGTTGACCACCCAAGTGCGCCCCCCAAGTTGGGCGCTTTATTCAATCAACAGTCCAAACAATCCCGTTCGTTCGGAACCGAGGCACATGAAATCGAAGCAGTTCCAGGACATCTCCGAGTTCCAAAAAAAAGAAGAGCCGGTGCACCATAAGTTTCAACACGAGTTCCACCACATAGAAGGAGGCCAAAAGAACTTCCGCAATCTGAACTCTGGGATCCAAGTCAAAAGGAGTTTCAATGTTTTGCATCTCCAGATCTGTGGTGTAGAAAATGAAGATCGCGTTCCTCGGAAAACGGTTGCGACTTGTTTCATCTTGTTTTAGATGTTTCAGTTGTAGTAATTTATGTCCGTGAGTTTTGAGATATCTATATGATGATGCATGTTCATCCGGCTGCAGCGGCCCCAACATTTTATGTGAATCATTTGCCAAACCTCGCCAAATCTATCAAAACTCCAAGATTCAAGAGAATCACCGCCCCACTCACCATCCCAAAGGTGGTGCTGTTGACGAAGCGATGCAGGCATCCATGTCGTGGCGGCTCTTCCCAGGTCAAGCACTTCTCCCAGGCCACCAAGCAGGACACGAAGGCACGACTACAACGAGCCGCGCACGAGCACTGGTTGTCACCTTAGGAGATTTGCCGTCCAGCCCTGCCAGGCGAAACTATACGTTTCATATCGTTTCATACCAGGGGAGTCACCCAGTTTCACTGGACACGCAAGTTATCGGACGTCCATCCGATCCGAGGAGAAACCGGATTGCCAGGTCACCCGTGGCGAAGTTGGACTTGATCAAACTGGTCAAGGTATTTCGCACCATGGAGCGTTCCTTCCTCAGCGAACGCCGCGGGTGTGTATGTCCGTGGAGACCCGTCCGCGGAGATGTAGACGGGTCGATGAGTCGATGTGCCAAAGCAAGGCTGGGAGGTGGGAACGCCTGGGATATCTCTCCCCATTTAAAGACCTACTCATTTTGGGATCTACCTGGCCACCCGGTTGTCACAAAGTCAAGGAATAACATGCTAAAAACAAGAAGGGGGGTGCCCTCCAACACAGGTCAACGTCTCCAAAACAACGAGAAAGAACTGTGAAGCCATGAATTTTCACAGCTCAGCCTCCCATCAATGCCATTGATGCTATAGTGATGATGATGTGTATCAGACTCATCCCCCTTCATCATCTTGGAGGCCGTCGACATCGATGCTTCGCCCCCTGCGTTTGCAGCAAAGGCCTGCAACTGTTGGTCGAAATGGACGGCACACGGAGAGGAGGTCAGTGGCGAAACCATGGGTTCCCCCTCTCTTCCAGATTCCACCGAAAAAGAACTGAAAATACGAGGAGTTGCACCACAAAAGGCCCAGGAGCAATGTTCTCAAGCGCTTGTTTGTTGCATTTCTCCCCCCAGTTCGGATCCTCTTCCCAAAACAGCTGCTTGTGTTCTCCTCTCCATCCCCAATAAAGCATCCACCAGCCTCTGGTTGTGAAAACGGCACCAGTGGTGGTTCCACCAGCTCTCCTACCACCGGTGGGGCGCCTTGGTGCCGGTGCGCCCGAAGCCCAGGAACTTTGGGAGCTTCTGTGGCGCATTGCCCTCGTCGGCCTCCGACACCTCCTCCGAGTGGTCATGCGAGGCATCCGGGCTCACCTGGGTGAGAAGTGCCGTAGAGAGAGGTGGGGAGAGGTACAGCGGCCAAACACAAGCAAGAAAAACATACGTGAAATTTTAGCATAGCTAGCAACATAAGTGGAAAATGAAATGTTATTGTTATGACGATTTCTATAATTTGATGTTCTTTGTGTTTGTTTTGATGGCTTCCAGGATTTGGATGTTGTAAGAGCTCGTTGATGGTTTCGGAGAACGCTGGTCCGTCCCCTCTTGTTGGCTGCAAACGCCTGCCTTGACGATCGGACTGGCATGTCGAATGCTCAACTTGTGCAGCTCACCCTCCAACTTGGCCAGAAGGGCTTCTTCGCCTCGAGTGTGCTGATCAGGAAGCTGCCCAAAATGGTCCGAAGTCAATCCCTCTGGAAGGGGATTCAAAACCCCATTGCGGATCTATATCATCAAAAATATCAAAAATCATCAAAAATTCATTGCTGAACAACCAAGCCGCTGTAGGCCAACTTCATGAGCTCTGCATGAGCTGCCTGACATTGCTTAAGCAAGCCAGCAGCTGCGTTCGCTTCGCCCATGGTGGTTTCGTTCTCCGCCCAAGCCGCCGTCGGGAAACGAGTTCCGAACCGGTGTTTTCAAGGTGATGCGGTGAGACATATCTGAGTCTGTGGTGCTCAATGTTTGGATCGATGATCATATATATATATATATCTATATCTCTCTTTCTGTCTATCTATCTATCTATATCTATCTATATCTATTCTAACTCTTCTGATCTCGAGCGGGCGGCCCGTGGTTCGGTCCTCCTCTTGAGCCAGGTGTCCGGCCAAAGCTCATGTGATCTCATTTGTCATGGCTGCCAGTTCTACTACTGAACTGATGTGAAGATATATGTGAAGCATTGCGGCAGGGTTGGGTTTTTGAAATTCATTGATTCGAGTAACTGTGTATATAACTTAACTCAATGAAATCTCAATGAGCTCGAAGAGTCATGTGCTGAATCATGGATGTTCAGTGGTCTGCCAGGGGGGTGCCAGGGGCATAAAATTCAAGCAAGTTCAAGCATCTCTGCGACTAATCGTGCAAATCAAGCATGTGAATCCCCAGAAGCAACGTATATATGTTTAGAAACCCGTGGCAAGAAACCACGTGGCAGCGGAAACACATTGCTATCTCAGTTTCCTGGACACTCCGCCTCAGCTGTCTATCCAAGAAGGGCATCAAAACCCCGTTCTGGACGAAGACTAAATCCTGAGTGGGCAAGTGAGTCGACCAACAAGCCAAACAGCTTTCCCCCTTTCCGGCCATGACAGAAGGAGTGCTCGATCCGAGGATTTTTTTCAAGAGGAGCAGTACGAGCAGTACAAGCAGGTCCATGTTCTTTGACCCTTTTCACCTCCCACATCCGGCTGAGTCTCCTCATGCCGCTCCTCGGGCACCATGCGAATCACCTCCTCCAAGGCGTCGTTGCGCGTGCACACGTAGATCGGTCCCTCGGGAGCATCGCCTGGGCCGATCCGAGGGCGCCGGGCCAAATGGCCATGGGCCAATTGGGAGAAACTCCCCTGGGCCAAATGGGTTTTGGATGGTTTTGGTATTTACCATGGATTTCCTTTTTGTTTTCAGGTCCAACTGGGAGGTCTCCCGATGTTGCATACCCAGATCTTATGGACGATTCCTGCCTGTCTAGATGACAGCGATGCCTCAGGTAGATGACAGCGGTCCTTCCGAGTTGTTCCACACCATGCACAGTGTACAGGCCTTGTCTTATATGAATTATATAATTATATGTAGAAGATGGATCTGGACTTTAGGAAAACCACACCACACTCCGACTTCAGTGAATTCTATTCTTCAATCTGTTACCTCTCAAGATAGGGCATGTTCTGCACAAATATTGTGTATAACTTTACAAACGGAGAAACATCAACAAAACACAACAAAATAACACAGCTGCTGCACTTCTCTTCACGCCACTGGGAAAGGTCTCGCCCCTCCTGACGATCACATCCTGTCTCAGGCCCATCTTTGCAAAAGCTTCCCCCAGGCGGCCCCCGCCAACAATCACCGCCGGTGGAAATGCCTCTGGCGCCGTGGCCTCCTCCGCCGCGCAGGCCACAGCGAAGCTGCGCCTCTGCCGCATCGCGTGGCAGGCTCCGTAGGCGCCAACGCCCGCTGCAGAGGCCAAGAGCTGGCGGCTGAGATTGCTCAGCCGACGAGTCTTCTGCATGCGAAGGAAAGGTCGCTGAAATGATTGGGCGAAGGAATGGTGCGTCACTTGTCGCGAAGTGGCCAGAGATAAGCCACTTGCCATTGCCATGTGGAAAAAGGCGGGTCCGAGTGACGTTGTCACTCAAAGCGCGCGTTCGAAGAATGCTTTAGCCAAAACGAGATTGCAAACATGACTCAGGAGGGAGTTGCAAGCAAAACCATTTCAGGAAAAACATGCCAAACCTACACCCTTCTGGAAGTCCAATGCCCTCCCAAAGGTGGAAACAAATTGACACACACACATATATAATAAATGTATTCAATCTTCCAAAGTCCGAATTCCGCCCAGTCTCGAGCACCATACTCCCAGCAAGCGAGAGCATGTGCACTCCGAGGTTGTGTATCAAAGAACAAGACCAAAGCCTTGGCGATCGGCTTTGGTGCTGGCCACCCGTCGGCCCTCCCGTCACAGGCGCGCATCGCCACGCGGCGAATGACGCGTGGCGTCCTTGGTAAGCCCGGTCAATGTTGGGGTCCATGAGCCATGAGCTTCCATGAGTGACTCAAGTGCTGTCTCGTGCCACCTGAGCCCCTCATGCCTGCCAGTGGACTTGTATGTTCTCAACCTACGAGTTAGCTGCACTAGAGAGTTACATGATGTTACATGCAAACTAGGTCATATGGCACAAATCCCATGATGTCATTTATATAGATGGGGGTCCATATAAACCACCGCTTGGGGTCTGTGCCATCACTCTCAATCCACTCTACACGGGTGATTGTATGGATGTGACACAATGGCCGCACAAAAACTCTCTGGGATGAACGGTTCTTCCGGTAGAACTGGATCTGCTGGCGCAACTGGCCTGCCCTGGACTGCTGAATTCTTCAAGGGGCAAACTTCTGGAAGATCGGCGGGTTGAAAATCAGCGAGATGTTCCTGAGATCAATGAACCAGCATTCATGGCGATATAGATTGCACTAGATTGTTCATTGCCATTGGTCATTGCAGAGTGGATGGCAGAATAGATGCCTTGGCTCTGTGAAAGCCTTGACTATAGTGAGAACCCTCGGCCATCAGAGTCAGAAGCACAGGAAGATTGCACCACAAAAATTGGCAAGCTTTCGGAGGGCAAACCATTGAAAGACCAAAGGACACCACTGACTCATGTTCCTTCACTTTTCAAGTCCTTCCGCGGTCCTCATACCTAGCCCCATCCGCGAAAACACTTACTGTACTCTCAACCGGCCTTTGTGAAGCTAAAACGTGATGAGGGACACGGGA